CTACCCTAGGAGACTTTCTTAAACATTTTAGCTGGAGCAATTCCAGCATTTTAGCTGTTTTTTTTCTTATCCTGCATATGGGATGAAAAACAAATCTTCAAGATTTTCTGCAAACTGAAAAAAAAAAATGTTGGGTCAATACAAAGAGCTCAGTGGGTTAGTGGCAAATCACTGCATTCGGGTTCAAATTTTGTGTGTGTATTTTTTCCAAACCAAATTAATCTAATGTTTGAAATGAAATATTGTCTTTAAAAATGAAGCTGTTTGGGGTGAACTGAATGGCAAAACCAGTGTTTCTGCAGTTTTCTAATATGTTTCCCAGAAATGTATTAGAAATGGAGGACACTCCTGGAAAAAAATAGCTGTAATTTTTTTTTTGCAACCTGTAGCAAGGGCTGATCCTGCTGTGCTGTACCAGAGGAGGCAAATGTATCTGCTCCCCTAAATCTGACCTGCCTGACTCCTTCTGGAGACGCTTCTACTTCTCACCTGTTTGTTTTTTTTTTTTTGGACTTCCAAAGCAAGCAAACCTTTTCTGTGTTTTGGATGAGAAAGCTGATTCCCCATGTCTGCTCATCTTTTTTGAGTCATTTGCTGCTCTTCTGCCTGGAAATGGCCATGCCTTAGTATTGCTGGACATAGAGAGTATGTAGAGCATTTTAGAATGAGCATCTCTTATGCTCTGTATTACAAGAAAATCACTAGGCAATGAAATATGCTAAATTGTCACCTGAATAAATGTAGTTCAGTTAAAAATATATACTCATCTACCACCTCATTGTATGAAAATGGAGAACTATAAAAAGTAGACAGGCTTTTATGGAGGTTTCTACTAATGTTAACACACTTTTTCAGTGTTTGGAGAAATTTGATTAATTTAAAAAAGCCTGGTGTGGATTCACCTGGCAGCACTTACAATTTTTTTTCAGATCATTTCTGAAGGACAAAAAAGTCCTCTGTGTGAAGTGAGGTTTGTTTTACACTCAGTGGCTGCAGGTCTGGGCTGAAAAATGGCATGTTGGGGGACCAGCACGTAGCTGGAGGCAACACAGCTTGGCTGGGCAGTGTGTGAGGCATCCACCCCTCCTGGTTCACTGTGGTCTCTCAAAACATGAGAGGACATAGCTTGGGACAGCCAGCTTGTAATGGGCCAAGCGCTATGCTGGCCGTGCTCCTGGGGCTGAAAGGGCACTCAGAGTCCACCCCTGAGGTGTACCAGCCCCAGCCTCTGCCCACAGGGTCCTCCCTAATTTGCAACAGCTCAAACAGCTGAATCAAATAGCCTGACCACTCCATTTTGTGGGGGGAAAGAAAAAAATATTTAAGCTATTTTGGTTTAAATTGCATAGAGTATGAGCACATGAACGGCTCCCTGGAGCAACAGCATCTTCTGCAGGGATGGCTGCACTCATGAGGGGAGCTGACACCCAGCAGCCACTGCCCCACACAGGTAATAAGGGATAACTGCTCCTTTCCTCCTTCCCCGTGTCTCCTAATTTAGTAGCCTTTATCCTGTTTGAGGTAGGCACTTTACTTTACTCGTAGTAATGATCAGTGATGCTCTCAGAGATGATGATTGCCTGAGCCCAGCCAGGGCTGCTGGTGGTCATGTCTGTGTGATTCTGCACTTTGCTGAGGGGTGAGAAAAATGGAAGAAGGAAACGTGTCTGGATCAGCCTCAAAAAAAAAAAAAGTTTAAAATCTTTGGTGAACAGAGCAATTGCTGATAGTTTTGGCTCATGTCAGAAGAACAATTATATTTATTTTTTCAAGCCTTTCCAATAAAAAAAACCCTAAGGTGGTGTTGTCTGTGTCCTGTCCCCTCCTTCCCCCCTGTCCCTCCCCCCGCATTTAAAAGTCAACATCAGTTCGAACTGAAAAATTGAAATATTTTGTTTTCAAAACACTGAAACAAAATAATTTATACTTGCCCCTGCACAACAAAAACAATTTGGCAAAGGTTGTAAACAGTTGTGAGATATTTGGGTACACAGCAAACTGTGCTGGTTTCTTTATGAAAAATTGTGTTGGGAAGTGACAAGTGCTCAGTGGAGCAGAAAAGTGAGGGTTTTTTTTCCCAAATCTTTGATAGATATAAGCAGCACAGTGGCTACTGGAGAGCTGATGCTACTGTTCTCAGACTGAGTCTATGCGAAAAGTTGCATTGCTGCAGATATTGGTTCAATCCACTTGAATGGCTGTGGCTATTTTAATAAGGGCATGACTGTATGAGAAGGGAAATTAGCTGACCAATTTTTAAGATGCTGTTGCCCTGAAATTGCTGTTCTCTCTAGAGGTTATACTCGTATGCTTGTATTGCTGTAAGGTCCCAGCTGTCATAGTCAAATGGGCAAAGGAGGCTGCTTGGACCAAGCTTACACCAGCCAGTTCTTTCTCAGCACCTTCTTCCATTGAACTCTTCTGTGGCTGGTGATGAGGATGTGAAGCCAGCAGTGTCCCTGGCCTTGTCTTGGGACTTCATTCCCTTTTTGTCCCTTTGGTTTGAAATCACTGTGTTTGTGTCTTCTCAAGATGTGCAGGCTCTTATGTTTCCTGAGCCCTCTCTCCTTCCTGTATTCATCTCAAACTCGCACCGGAGTTGGGTATGCTTGCACTCTGGCTACGTTTTGTGAGATGAAGTGACGTCTCCTCAATTAGAAAAGCTAAACCAAAATAAGCTCTCTGTTGTCTTAGCTGGTGACATTTAGTGAGTCTGCTGCAAGGTGCCAAGTTTCAGAGTATTGTAGCAGGGATGTTCACACTTCAGCTTCAGATTTAGATGTTCCAGAATAGAAATAAGACCTAACATATAATCTAATTAAGAAAATAATAACTATTAAAAGGCCATGTGAATTTGGCACCTGGAATACTTACGCATGCTTTAAATCCCACAAGGGTGCCTCTCATAGGCTCATAACGCCTTCGAATGCTGTGCTGCTGTTTTCATATTGCACTCTTCCATTCAGGGGCTTTGCAGCACTGGTTGCTCTGTGCTGTCCCGAATACCCAGCTGGGACATCAAGAGGTGACATGTTTATGCTGGGAAGAGTCAAAACAGTCTCAGAAACATGATGGATTTGCCTGATCACCAAATTTTGCTGCGATGTATTTCTCATTCATTTGAGCTGCCTACAGGAACATCAGGGGATAAATGTGCTACTAAAATGGAAGTAGGGAATGCAATAGCACAGGGTAATATCCCCTCTGAAATACAACCTCTCCTTGGGGCAGCAGGAGTTGTCAAAATCCTGTTTGCAATGCTAACACTTCAGTGGGGGGTTAACTGTGCCGGTGATCAGACAGATAATTCCCTTTAAAATTATTGTTTTACCTCACTCCATCCAATTACTCAAGTTGTTTTGCTATCCCACAGATCTTTCCATTAATGTCAACAAAATGATTACAGACTAACAGCGTCAAGATGTTTCACCCACAGTAGCGTTGGTGAAATGTTTATGGTGCAACACGTTGAAAGCAGCATTTGATGTGTAAATGTCAGGAACAATCAGCTTTCCTGTCACCAGAACCAAAGTGCACAAATACAGGTGCTGAAAATGTCACACACAACCAAGCAGCTACTTTATCGTCATGTAAATGACCAACATCAGTGTCAGTAATGGTGTGGAAAAGCCACCAGAGCTCTTAGCTGGTGATGCTGTGCGCTGTTTCTTATTTGTGAATAGTAATCAGCAGCATGGTCCTTCCTTCAGCATTGGTGACTGAGCTGATGGGGAGATGGACGAAGGACATCCATGAGGATGGCAACACCTGCCATGGATCAAACCTCTTTGCTGGAAGGGAAAAAAACTTTAAGGATGAAGATGCACCCTGGGAGTCACCTGGGCTGTCTATAAATGGGTCAAGATGCCAATGTGGCTGTGTGGCTCTGGGGGCCTCACCTGGATACCTCCCTTCTTGGCAAAACCCTGAAGAATAAGGTTTTGTAACGACGATGAGCATCTGCATCATGGGTACCAGGAGAGGAGTCCCCATGTCCCTGCACACTGGTGCCTATGCCCATGCCGTGGAGGGGTGGGGACTGTGGCAGTGGGACTGGGGTCTCCCATCTCTGTCACCCCATCCACACTGGCACCAGGGGTTTCATGCTTTCTGCTGGCTGACAGATGTTGGATTAAAGGTTGCTGTAAGTCCACCAAGGACTTTGTGACTCCAGTCCCAGTGATGCTGAAGGTGCCTATATCCTCTGACGATGGTTTCTGTGAATCCTACGGATTGATCAAAACTACATTTTTTGCAAATAAACCTTTATGAATGCCCTGTTGTGTCAGCGCTCCTCATTTCTTGGTAACAGAAGCTACAAAGAAAAGTTTGATGAAACAAGCCAGATCTGAAGGCAGAAGATATTGAAATCTGGAAGATTGAATTTAATATTTTTATTATATATTTTGGAGCCCTGATTATACCCCCACCCTCCAGGAATTTATTTACCTAAGGAAAATTATATGACTGATTACAAGATTGCAGGTTCATTTTCACTGCTGAGAACTCTTTTTTTTTTTTTACAGCTCACGTTACACTTGCATGACTTGTAAAGTTCTGTAACATCTTGAAATTTTTAATGCTACATTGCAGAAAGGTACTTATATATAGATGAACCAAGCAGAATACTTGCTTTGCAGTCTTTTTGAGGGGAAAAACGTTAGTTTCTTGGTTTGAACAGGCCTGTAAATGGTTTCTTTGAGCTATCGGACAGTGAGTTTACAGGGTGCTCACTGGAGCTGCCTCGTGTTTGTCCTTCAGGCTGAGTGCAAAGTGAGAAACTGCGAGAGGTGCTTTTAAAACATAACATAAGAAGGAATGCTTTCTACAGGGGAATAAAGATAAATTATGCAGAAATCGTGACTATAGCGTGCATGGAATTATACTGGCAAGATCCCCATGGTAAATATTTGACAGATAGGACAACATCTTAGTCATAATCTCAGTTTTTCCAATAAATCATTGCACCTGGGCCTTTTAAATCATAATTCACGTCAGCCAGCACTGCATACAGAGTTAAGGTCAGGAGAGATTTCCAGATGTATTATGATGATTATCTAACAATTCAGTTAATAGAGCCATAGAATTAGATGAGATTTTTGTCAATTCCGATGTCACAGCAACAGGGACCTTTGACTGAAACAACATCATGAATATTGGATAAGATCCTGCAGTGCTGCTCCTCCATGTTATGATATTATCCAAGGATGAAGGTTATAAATACATGAGTTATACTGTTCACTTTCCAGTTGGTAAAAACAAAACAAAATCCCCCCATAATCAAGTTCCAATACACAACTAGATATAATATAGCTTTTTCTTTTTATATATATCTGTATATATATCAAGTAAAAAAATCTAAAATAGTTGGAAGTAAAAAATGAAAAAATAGCTGATTGTGTTATTTTTTTCTTTACAGTGATATGGTAGCAAATACAAGACAAATGAGTAATAAACCTTTACATAAGGTGTTCTGGTCCCATCTCTGTCAATAGGGCTCGAACTAGAATAGAAAATGGAACAAGGTGATTTTTGTTTTTTGGCTACAGCTTCTGCGAGTGACAAAGATGATGTTGATAAGACAGAAGGAAATTACTGCACTAAATAAAATAAAACTCCAGGGTGTTTTCCAAAAGACCTTAAACACGACAGGGTAAAATTTACTTCTGAACTGGGGGACCAAACACAAAGCATCACCAACTCCTACTTTGGCTGAAAATACTGTATGCTTATCCTGGCCCCAAAATACATCCCTTTTGTACCATCTTACCATAAAAAACCCTATCAATGCTTTTTTTCCCCCTTGCAGCCAATAGTAAAAAAAGAAAAGCCACAAATCCACCGAATGGGCCGAGCCAGATGTGAGACCTCAGCGATGCGCAAGTGGTTGGCCGCCCTTTGCCCAGCTGTGAATTTTCCCCAGAATCCTTTACAGTGAAGATGTCAATTGACTAAGCTTGGCAAATGGTCACACTGAGCCCTATTTTGGCTGTAGAAAAGAAAGAAGTACTAGTCTCAGCATAAAACAAGATCATATAGACGGTCAACACAAAACGGTAATTTTTCAGTTGTCTGCATAATAATAACATCATGTTTGCATATAGAACAGCCTTTGCATTATTGCTCTACTCATAAGAATATAGTAAGGAACTTATAACAGACTTGCACATTACAAACTTAAGGTTCTTTGGTGAAGAATGAGAAAACAGTATTTTAGCTGTAATTAAATCTCAGAGAAGTCTTCATTTTTATCTGTTGATCCTTTGGATTCTCTCACAAAGGAGGGAAAGGTATTGAGTCAGCTTTACCATCGCGACGATGGCGACCCCGCCAATCATCATGCAGGTGGGCCAGAAGAGGGAGTGGAACAGCACATTGGAGCTGTACAGTTTGGTTAATATCACATTCTTCTGAACACCTTCGGGGTCATAGAAGCAGGAGAAGCGTTGGTACTTTCTGAAGTTTTCCATCACGACGTTCACCAGTGACATGGATTCCTCATAATTCTTGCCGCACTTGGGTATGTATGAACACTAGGAAGAAATTAGAGGGAGAAAAATGCATCTCCAAACCAGATACAATGTCTGTTTTCAGGTGGCAAGCAGGAAAATCTCAAGATAATTATGCTTTTCATAACATGAGTGGAATACTATTAAGCTAATAATAAATTTATCACAGACAAAACTCAATATTTTGCACATCCACAGAATTTCCCATTGGAGAACCTCCAAGTGCTGTACAAACATTAATGCTTTAATCTGCACAGCGGCCTCATGAGATAGGTGAATATATTATTATTGCTAATTTACACATGCAAAAACGGAACTGATGAAGTACCTCTTCATCTTAAGTGGCATGCGTATGCTCACAGTTAGATGGGTAATTGACTCTCTGTAAATACAAATCTAGTAGTTCAGATCTTTCTTGAATCAGATCAAAGTGATCATAGTGGGCACAGGAGTTCACTCACAGAGGAAAAGGCTGATGAGAGACCTTTATACAAATTTTCTCTTGGGAGTAATGCCTCGATTAAGGACAAATGGCCTAGGAGAAAACACAGTTTTCCTGTGGACAACCCAGAAGACTTTCATTCAACCTCTAGCTGAAGGTCAGCCTGGCTACCAGGATGGCTCTTAGCCTTGATTTTGCTCTTCACCCCTGCGTAAGTCCAGCAGCTCCTTCTCTCTGAAGATGCTGCTTGAATTTCAGTCTCAGCCACAAAGAAAAGAAGATTTGGGGGTGGCTTTTTCTAACGCAGTTTCAACCTAGCATTCCCAAAGTATACTAAAACCAAATTAATTAAAAAACTAGCTTATGGAGTCCGTGCATTGAAGATGTTCCATGGGACATCTAGGATGGTGGCCATGGACTGTGCTGACTGTTCCCTGCAAAGAGCCAGTGTGGGCTGGTGAGGTGGTGGGCAGACACACAAGGATTGAGGCCACGTCTGGATTTTGACCTAGAGCAGAAATACCTGAATTTGTTGCTGCTGCTGCTGATCTTGAAGAAGATTGATGGAAGCAGCCCAGGGCACCTCCCTCCCTCCTCTCATCTAGACACTCACACCCCTCCACACCTGGGGGTTTTCTACACCTGTCCAGGATTTTGATTAAATCCCCTACCTAGGCAAGACCTGCTTCAGGAGGGATGGAAATCTGCTGCTTAACTTCTCATTGAACGTGTGTGCGTGGGACCCAGCAGGTCACTGCTCCCTCACAGGTATAGGGTGATTGTGGGTCCCACCATGCTCCCTGCCTGTGCTGCTGACCCTGCTTGTCCTGTGTGAGCGCCTAAAGTAGCTCCCGATAATTTAATGAGAGAAAGTGAGTTTTTCAAAGGAAAAAAAGATGTTTTGATTAAAATAATGTGACACCATGGCTTTTGATTATTATTGTTTTAATGTATATATTTTATAAATGTCCCTCAGTTCTTTTTTATGACTATGCTGTGACTTTTTTGCAACGTACTGTGAAAAATCTCTAGTCCTAATAACGATCAAAGGATTAACCTCGTAACAGGATTTGATTGATTCATTGGCAAGTTTATTAGCACAGAATATGATTTGAAGCGCGGCAGAAAGATTGCCTGGTCTTAGCAGACTGGACCATTAAGGGTAGAGCATGGCAGCACTGCCATTATGAATATTTCATAGACCTCTAGAAATTAGAGACGGAAAATATCAGAGCAGTAATATCTCATCCATCTTCCTGCTGGTGCAGGTCTGCTCCCTCCAGGATATTCTCTTGCACTCTGCCCAGCTTTGTCTTAAATGTCTAAAGCCACAAGCCTTCTTCCAGTGCCTATGACTCTTTAATAGATCATAATCTAATAAGTAGGGGAATTTCTCAGTGAAGTGTACCTCATTTTCTTTTACTAAATTATGTGCTATCACTATCGTAACAGCAGTATTTCCAGCTCAGATTTTTTTTTTTTCTTGCAAGTTTGGTGCCATACATTTTTGTTTCTTGAAACCCCAGCTGTTACGATCCTGAGCAAGGAGATTAAATGTGGACTTGGCCACTCTTGCCGAGGTCCAGCCCTCCCCCTTCGCAGAAAACAGCAGGCACTTAAAAGCCCAAATGATGACAGCTTCCTTGCCTCAAAGTCTGTGGGAATGTTCCAAGAGTGCAGTGGGGAGAATTCTGACTTCCTGCAAGTCTGAATATTTTCCAAACATTTTCAAAGGAGACCAGACGCTGAAGCAGAACTTCAGCTGTTGCCTCCTACACCTGATGGCACAGAGCCACCAGCCGTGTCAGGCTGGTTGGGCTGCTCGTGCTGAGAGGGTCTGGTAGCATGAAGCTGTGAAATGCAGTTGTCCAAGGGAGGTTGATTTACTTTGCCTCTCAGCCAGGCTCCTTGTGCTGAAACTGTGTCTCTCTCCAGGCTATGGTCTCCCATGTGCTCTACAAGATGTGGATGCCCTTTACCCCATGCGCTATCTACCTTGTCCCAGTTCTCCTGAACTCCTGGAGGCATCTTGGCCTCTGCTTTGAGGAGATCCTCAGCACAAGGACTCTGTGTGCATTAAGTTGTGGTTGTGGTGTGCTCCTGGCCTCCGTCCATGCCTTGGCATCTCCAGTGAGATCCCAGGGATAGCACAGGGCTGGCTCTGCCGTGCTGCGTAGGTTGTTGGTGAGCAAGTAGATGGACACGTATAATGGAATGTTTTGAGTGTTTTCTTTGGCTTGATCTTCATCTAGTTTTCCCCAATGACTGGCAGGGAATTTCACATCCATGCTGTAGCTGTGAATGTAGACTACTAAATCTATGCTGTTCTATTACACCTCTGCATTGTCAAACACTTGGAAATCTGCAAATCTGAAAGTAAACAATGTCTGGCTCTCTACCTCAAGTGAGGATTCTGTGATACAATGTGAGAAAAGTGATTCTTGTGTTACTTGCAATCTGTTCACAAGAAGGACATACTAGGTAGTTACAGGGAGAACTTGTTATTACATTTCCAGCTCAGCTTTTCTGATTTAAAGGACTGGATAGGTAGCCTGTAAGAACCGCCTCTGGACATGTCCACTCCAATGCCCTGCTCAGTGCAGAGTTGCTCATGGACTTATCCAGTCAAGTTATTAATATCTCCAAGGCTGGAAAACACCCAACACCTCTGGGAAAGCTGGGAGTAGTTTCATTTAAGACAATAAAGTTACACCGACAGCCCTATTTTTGGAGAGTCCCCTAGTTCAGGTTGGGGCCCTAGTTCAGGCTGGGCAGTGAAATACCTGGCTCTGGTCATATGCCTGTGGTTGGGATGCATGTTCCTGTCATGCTGAGCTTGGAAACTGCGACTGGAAACTTAGATAAGAAGTGCTGTGGCAATCTTTGTGAGAAAAAAGCGGTCAGGATGTCAATTTACACCTCTTTTGGAAAGTGCAACAGGTCTGAACCGATGGCTGAAGGAGCAGCTTTGTGTCTGTGCTGGCTTGATATTGATTCCTGCAGACTGAATTCTCCAGCCCCAGCCCTGAAATGAGTCTGCTGGGAATTGCAGCTCAACATCGTTGCTCCCCCCCTGCCCCGACAAACTCCTCTCCGGGTTATAAATACCTGAACCTTCAGTGGGAAACCATGAGATTCCCCATCATTTCTGAGTCTCAGGCAGTTGAAGCTGGCATAACGGTGATTCTGGTGATTAAAGCCTGCTTGTTATCTCACTTATGGAGCACGGATATAAATCAACAGCAGCTCCAATGACACAAAAAGAATCAAAATGATATAGTATGAGATCGAAACGGGGCCTCTAGAACTGCTTTAGCTGCTGCAGCCCTTCCTCAGAGTGACAGCCTGGCTCTGTGGTGTGGGCACGGGGGGACATCGGCCGAATTACCTCTCCCAGAGGCTGTTACAGCCTCTGACAGCTGAGAAAGGAATGTGTAGCTGTGAAAGCATTTAAGCCGCTGTGCTTGTAGTATTGACAAGGGGCTGGGCTTGTCTTAAAGGCTAGAGATAAAGTACGCACAGTGAGAGCAATGAAAAGCCATGAAAAAACTCGTGTGCTTTTCTGAGAAAGACTCGGGCAGCTCGACTGGTATCCACTTACTTCCCACCGATTCCCACTGGAGACTGGCAGCAGTGTGCTGTAGAGCTCAGTATAAATTGCACCTATCCCGTACCACACCTTGTGGGCCGACAGCTAGGTTAGACAGCAAGTCTTCCATTTTAATCATTATTTAATATCAAAGTGTGTTTTGCTCCATCCATGCTGGCTGGCGGGGAGAGGAGAGAGACGAGCTCCAGATGCTGCTCTGCGTGTGCGCGGGGCTCTGTGAGGCAGAGAGGGTGGCGGGGCGATGCTGACCTTTTGAAGGTCGCTGGTGTTGGCCTTGGAGGGGGACCATCATGCTCTGCAACATCCCCAGTAATGCCAGGGCTCAGTCAGCCAGGTATGGGGGTTTTTTTTTGGTTTTTTTGGCAAGGAGAAAGATAGGAAAGGCAGACCTGAGTACGTGGATGGAGAGAGACAGTTAGCACCTAGCTGGAGCATCACAAAACCAGCCGTACTCAGGGCAGCTTGTCTCTGGCCACGAGAGAGGGAGGACCCATCCAGGGAACTGAGATGGGTTGTGCTGATCTGAGCTTGGAGCCTCTGCCGATCCCAGCCAGGCACGAGAAGCCAGGCATTTTATAGACATTGCAAACTTCCATTCAAAACTGCGTTTGGATTCAGGTCACATAGCCAGCAGCATGTCAGGAAAACCTAGGAATCCTCCCGAGAGCAGAGCTTAACCTGTAAAACAACCTTGGGCTGGAGAAGTATTAACTGTGCCTACATTAAATTAAGAGGAGGTGGCATCTGGGAGAATTTCAAAGTCCATTTCAGCAAGCAAAAATCATCAATAACAGAATGTGGAGATTTATGCTGAATGTCTTGATTTATTTGAATCCAGTGGAGCACAGAGACCGATCTGATCTGTTTTAATCAAATTGCTGCATGAGCATCACTGGATTTTGTTTCTGCCCTGGCAGAAAGTGGGGTCTGTCCTGCTGCAGACTTCATGGATGGAGAGTGCCTCTTTTCTGGAGTGCTGCCGAACCCGGGGGAAAGATGGGGCACTCTTCTCCATGTCACACTTCAGATCCAGAGGACTTCGTCTCTCAGCCATAGGAGCTAATTATCCAGCAGAATAACTGGCCTGGTGCAACCACTCCGTGCTTTGACTGATTTTAATATCGCTTCATCTTAATATGCAGAAGTAATTTGGTCTACTGAACTGCTGCCATAAATAGAAACACAATAGGTTACGTTGTCAGCAGCCTGAACCGGGGCTCTGCTGTTACGGGCTGCGTTTTGCCGAGCACCCATAGTTTGGGGTTCAGTGACCTTGGATAACTAAGCAGTTAATGCAAATCTTGCACTCACAAGTCTAATGACTTAGCTGTGTCCTGCCTCGCTGCAGCTTGCAGTTTTAGGTACCCAGGTGCTGTGGGTACAAAGAAGGGGAGGTGGGAAAAGGGACATTCCTGGGTCCGATCCTGCCTCGCTACGCAGAGGGAGCAGACAGCCACCTGCGAAGAGGCAGTGTCGTGCCTGGGTGTGATGCACAGCACTGTGTCAGCCGCACAGCTGTGGCTGCGGGCCGGCGAGGAGATGCCTTCTGTGCATCCTCTGCGTTCATTACAGCCTCCAGGCCGGGGCTGGCTCCATCCCACCTGGATGGATTTATGCTGGATTTTGTACTTGCTGAAGCAGAGAGAGGGATTCTTCTGCAGATTCGTTAAAAATCATTTTTTTGGTTCAATGTCTGGAATCAGGGAAGTTGTGCAAGAAAGATGGGCTGACTCCTTAGCTTGTACGTGCCCCAAAGCCAGGCCTTTCATTTTCATGTTGCTGCTTTTATCTTGACAGTCCCTGCTCCGCAAAATTTCATCATCTTTGCACCATCGGCAGGGGTAAGTGCTGTGCCTTGACCCCAGCGGCACATCTGACCCCAGCAGAGATGCTCAGGGCACAGAGTTTGTCACCAGAGGTCAAGATGGAGACACGTCTCGTTTCTCCCCACCGCCATGCCTGGCCCCACCATAAAAAGGCCATTTCTATTCTCACTGCCACGGATTCTCCATGCACATTGCTGGGGGTGTTTGCTGTCATGCGGAGCCATACTCGGGTGGGAAATGACTTGTCCACAGCTCCATGAGAATATCAGAGTGACAAGTGCTCAGCGCTAGCCTGTGCCTGTAAAGCACTGCTTGCATGGGCGAAGGATGAGGGAGGCTCCGGCCCCCAGGGCCACCACCCTGTGTGGGATGAGCTGTGCTCTCTGCACGGGATGGAGGTGGAAAACTGCCCCCTCCAGAGATGTGAGCTCAGTTTGTGCGCTGATTTCTGCTTTCTCTGCTCTGTATTTACCAGGGAAGCAGGAGCTGGAAGCCTTATATTGCTTTAAAGTGAGGAACGGGTATAACAAGGTGAGCAGCCCTCCAGAAACCCATTTAGGAAGAAATTTTATTCTGTGCTCCTACCTCAGAATTAATTTTCATTGTTTCCTCGGTGTGGTAGAGCAGAAGCTTCTGGCCAGAAGAGGTGAGATTAACGTACACCTGGAGGCAGGGGTACTGAGAGATTTTCCAGCAGTCTGGACCACAGCTAAATGAGCAGTTGAAGGTTTCTGTGATGGATGCATTGAGAAGCGAGCACTGAGCCTCTTCTGTCCAGACACTAAGGTGGAAAAAAAGAGACGTTAGAGCATGGCAAGAATGGGCAATAAGCACTAAACGCAGCTCAGGCTTCGCACCAGGGGGCATCTTGCAGGAGATGGTATGTGTTGAAGGGCTTTGAGCGAAGGCTGAACTTTCTTGTGTTGCACATGGCAGACGGTGCATTATTCTGTAGTACCCAAAGTTTGGGCTTTGAGCACAAAACCACCCAATTCACTTATATCTACGTATAAATGAAAAGGGAACTGGAACTTTTAGTCTGGAGAAGGTATATTTGAAACCAGAGGGAATCAGCAGAGACATGAAAGAAAACAGAGCAGCCTGCCCTGAGGAGAGCACAACGTGTATGGTGCTGCATGATGGGACACCCTGGACCAGGACCTGATGGTTAACCTCAAAGTCCACTTCAATTTAAAGTGAAGGCTGGGAGGGCGACTTTGAATTTTCATGGCATGTGTATTCCTACGCATGAAGACACAGTAACACACAAACGGTACCGCATGCAGCTCCCCCTGCGGAAAGGCTTTTTCTAGTGGCAGTTTGCTCAGTTTTCTGTAAGTTAAGTCAGCAGTTGTAATTGTTCTGGAGGATTTCGTCTTGTCTCCAGTTCACCAGAGGCTAAAACTGGAACGATGGAGCCTGGATGTGCGCTGGTAATGTTCACTTGGGTTCCTTGTATGTATTTAAAAACCTAAGGCTGTATTTTCCTTAGGGATGAGAGCAGTGGGAAGGGCACAGTGAGGAATGTGCGCGAGGCCCTTCACGGGCTTGGGGAAAGGTTTCACCCTGGGGCTCAGCCCCTCAGCTCCCACCCGGCACGGCTGTCCTGCCCCTCTCCATCAACCGGCTGAGGGTGTGCTCATCCCTCGCCAAACCTACAAAAGCTTTACACGGCAAGTGATATCAAAGATTTCTGACTAATTCTCTTGGTATTCTACTTTGGCAGTAATTCTGCTTGTATATTCCATTTTACATTTATATTAAATTATGCTATGATTTCTGGGGGGAAATCGAGCGAAAGGACTTTTTTTTTTTTTTTTTTGCCCATCCCAGGCAGTATTTTGTTGGAGGGGTATTGCTATCTGTAAAGGAGAATAACCCCTAAGGAGATCTGGCTGTGCGAAGAGAACTGACAGCAAAGACTCCCGGGTTGTCTTCTTTGTCTCACTTTCACCTTTCTGACTACTGTTTTATTCATGCATGGGGGTAATAAAGTAACACCTACCTACAAGACTTGTGAAGATGGAATATTTAATACTTCGTAGGTGCTTTGATATCTTCTGGCAATTTTTCATATGGTTTGTAATATAAATCATCTCTTTACACATGAGCAATTTTGACCTTAGCAGCCTCTGCAACTGACCCTGATGTTGCTGAAAGGTCTGGGAGAGCAATTTGGAAAAGCAAATGCTCTTGGATACTTAACAGGTCTTGATCTCTGTTTTCAAAATCTAAACTTTGCCTGGATTTAAAAAGGGACAAATACCTTTATCGCACAAGTAAGATGCTTCAAAGCGGTACAGTTTATCCGCAGGCATCGCTACTTTTTCCTTATTGTTGCAAGGTCAAGAAGGAACATTTTTCTGCAGGTGCACCAATATAATTGAGGATGTTCATACCAGTTAACTGTAGGCACTTATTGCACATGCCTAAAGAAGAAACCTGTGGGGGATAAGCCAAAACATGCCAGGTATTGGCCGCTGCCTCAGGGTGTTTTGGGCACGACAGACTAATGTTTTGATCCCCAATTACACATTTTTCATTCTCTTAACCCCACTGATCAGGGCAGAAAAAACATTGTTGACAGTCTTATTACAGTCTGGGCTGGATTTTAAATAGGGCTGGTGCTTGAGAACTGATTTCAAATGCTGCTAATGAATAACAGGCCAAACTTTCTGCTCTGTGACAGAGAAAGAAGCCAGAGAAGGCCTCAGAAAAATTAAGTGCAGTGTGGTAATGATGAAAGATAATCTTTCACTTTCAGCAAATTACTATATTTCAGGAGGATTTCACTTGTTAAAATGCAAGTAATAATCTACATGGAAAGCTACATGCTACAAAGCAGCTTGATTTCTTTCCCAAATTAATTCTCCATTCTTCATTTGAAAGTGCGTTGTTTCTCAAGGCTGCTAAATATTTTTGCTGTTTTCTCCTGAGGTTGGGCTTTGCAGCAACAGCCCCTGAGAGGCTTCCAGGGGTCAGCAGACTGCCGTCCAGCTGGTACGGATATAACTGTGGCAAGCCTAAAGCCTATGGATCAAGATTTTGTCATACAGGGATCTAATTCTTCCTTTGCTTATGCTAGCATTACTCAACTCACTTTCACTGTAGTTATGCCTAATTTATACTGGGGTGTGGAAGTGGAGAATTAGGTCTGTGTTGTACAAAGAAAAAAATATAAAACTTTAATGAAAAGGGTCAAAAGAATAAGCCATGAGAAGTCAGATGGAGCAGAGAGTGTGAGATCAGGGTAACCATCACGAAATTACCTTTGCATGTAAGACCGCAGCAGGGTGATTCCCAGGAGAAAGTACATCATGATAGAGCACACCATCATGGCCAGCCCGAGGAGTATGGCCCGGTCTTCTCCGGCTTTTAGAGCTGTGACTGTTTTCCTTTTGTCCAGTAGATCGTGATCCCTGATTTTTTGGTAAATATTTCTGAGGTTGAAAATAATACATTCTTATGTGAAGTTCACATTTAATCAATGAACCCTCTACAGATTGGGCAGTTCCACCTCCATACCCATCTCGTGAGAGAGAAAGGCTTAAGGGTCCTCAGGTGTCCTTTTTCATTGGATTCACTCTGACCTGGTGGAAACTTATTCATCTCCAAAACAAATTACAGCCATTTCTGAAAAGGTAAAAGCCTCTTATAGCAAATATAAAGATTAGACCCTTGTGCCAGCTCAGTAAATCCTTCTTTGGTACATTTTCATTGGTTCAGTTGAATTATACCATAGGTGAATTTGACCTGTCAGTGCCAACTTAGGCCACTAGAAGATATTTAGGTATATGAGGTGTCTTTTCTTCAGTTGAATATGGTAACAGGTCTTATGTTACCATATGTAGAAAATCTCCTGAAGAAAGTCGTCTCTAAAATTATCTGAAAGGACCAGGTTCTTTTTTGCTTCCCTACAGGCTAGTGGCTTGGGTAATTTTCCACCCTGAGTATGACTCAAAGCTCATGAAACACTATGGGGATTTTGCAATTGATTTCTGTGGGTTTTTTGATTGGGAGCTTATTTACTTTATTTATAAAATAGCTTTCTGGAAGCCCAGTTACTCATTACAGTGAAAACCCTCACAGAAAATTATCCATCAAAGCTATTTGTTCTGGGATTAAAAAAAAAGAAGATACAACAAACCATTCCCCCTTCAGCAGAGAGTCCTTTGCATTGTCTAACCATAAGTCCTTCTTTCATCTCCAAGCCTTTGATGATTCAATGGGTCATGAGGACACAATGGTGAAGAAGGAAATATTTGAGTACATTTCAAACACACTCAAACTTTGTGGGTTTAAAATGTACTTACAGACCTGAGGCTGGTCAAAATCTCCTGTGTTTTCTGTTACGGTTCTTTTGAATCATCCAGGTGGCACCCGAAGCATGTGAACCGCACACCTCTGAGCCCTGGCACCACCATAACATGGACATAGTAGTACACGTGGAAGAAGTTCCTCTTCTACTGTCTGCAAAATGGCAGGTGAGCAACATCAACATCACTTTGGGCTCTAGCAAACCCACCACTCATTTAAGCTGAAACCACCACGTTTCACTCAACCTTGGAAAAAAGCACTGTGCGTCAGACCAACCATATAACTTACATTCACCAACAGGGACAAAGAAATAGAGTTAAGACAGATGTAAAATCATACATAAACACAGTAGAAACAAGAAAATAGGTTTAATCATAAACTCTCTGAAACTGGAATTGAATTTGTGTTTAGATGATGAGTCATAGCCAGGAAAAGCACATATGGTGTAGGGTTTTACAGCAAAAATTTTGCTTAGATGGTAGTGCAGTAAATAGTCTCCCATACCTAAGACCCCTTGAGGTTTCTTCATACAACTGTAATTTACATCTTTAGATGTCTATGGTTTCTCTTCAAAACCATCCTTTAAAGCTTATCAATGTTTTCCTAGTTGGAAATGAAATGGTAATTCATCCTGTCAAATTTTTCTCTGGTGTTGGGGAGAAAAAATACATTGTGAACTGGCAGATGCAATTGCCTTCAAAGAAGTAATGTAGAGTAATAATCTAATATTACTTTTCTATTATTATTTATCAAACTGTATTTAACTCTGAGAGCTGCTATTAGGATTTGCATTGCTCCCAAATGGAGGCAGGCAGGAAGGCAGAGATTGTCATGCAGTTCCAGCACATTAACTGATCACACAGCATAACTTATGTCAGTGCGTAGACATAAAGCAGAGACAGTGCAATCGCTCACTAATGTCACCAGAGCAGCTAGGACATAAAAGGGATACAAATGGAGAATTTGAAAACAAATAGCTAATTGAGAATGGTTACAAATACTTCCCATGTGGCCCTGAGCCAAGAAACACGCAACGAGAGGTGAAAAAGGATGGACTGAGGGGTATGTTGTAGAAATGATCTATCTGGCAGGTGACTGGCGAAGGGGACAGTGTGCAGTGACTGCCTGCCAGGCAGATCTCTTACGCTTGTCTGCCATGGTAAATAAAGCTAAATAAAGCTCTGCCTTGGGGGTCATGCTCAGAGCAGTCATTCGGTTGCTCTTTCGCAAATATTTGTTAGTCAAAGCCCTGAACAACAGGAAGGCGGTAGCCTGGTGCGCCTTACTGAGGGCTTTTTTTCTGCTGAAACCTCGCCAGGAGTCAGTCTGCTAACACATGCCAAGGCGTGCGGTGGTGTGGCACGTGCCAGCGCGTGATGCACCGGTCCTGACGCAGCCCAGGAGATGCGCTGAGTAACCGTCCCTCCTCCTCCTCCCGGCTCGTGCCTGTGCCAGGGAGGTGCCAATTTGCTCAGTATGGTACTCGGAACATCTGCTATTACCAGACTTTACATTTTTGCTCCTGAGAGTCCTAGTTTTGGGGGTTATGGTATGTTGTGCAGAATATTTTGCCACTAACAGAGGAGCCTTGGCATCTCCTTAGCTGGAGCAGCAGCAGTGGCCTGCACGCGTGTGTGTGCTGCTCCGTGGCAGGGATTTTGTGTACGTGTGAACTTTTGGCACAGCCCAGGGACCTCTTTCTGCTCGGTGAGCTGGAAGAGCGCCGTGCTTAGCCGGCTGATTTTGGATCCCAGGGCTGCACAGCCACAATTAGCTGACTGCTGCGGTATGTTTAAGTACAGATCACTGCATCCTAGACACTACTCATCTAGGTGACTCCATCTAATGCTTATGATTACCTGTGATAACTCCCCAAATATGACACGGAAGGGGGCTGTTTGTTTTTAAAGAAGTGCCAGCTGTCAGAACATGGGGTCTCTCTGTCCTGTTCAAAGACATTTAATAGAAAGCAAGCCTCCAAGGACAAAGGTCTTTGCTCTCCTGATCATGCCAAGCTGAAGTTCTCCCCTGCTAAATCTCTGTGTCCCTTTTGCCAAATTGCTCAGAGGATACGGGCTGGCTGCTCTACCCAGGCTCAGCTGCCAGAGAGGAAATCTCATCTGTGACCATGCCTGCTGGGGACAGAGCAGAGATTTCCCTCTCCGTATCTCTCTGCACAGCAGCAGTGTGGGGATCCCTCTGCTATGTGGTCAGCAGCTCCTTACGTGTTCTCCAGAGGAAGGCTTAGGGAGGACCTGTGTGACAAAATTAGGCAGCCCAGGTTATGTAATTCAGCCTGAACACAAAACAGTCAAGGAGAATTACAGCGCCGGTTTAAGCTTACTGGCCTTAATAAGAAATTCTACGCCTTCTGTAGAGCTGCTAATATTTACTGCAGCCAAGACCTTTATTTGCCGTCATGAGGGACATGGCCTTTTCGCACTCGGTTATGTGAAGGACAAGGGATGCCACATGCATGCTCTGTGCTCTGCTGGTGTAAGACTGCGGCGCAGCTCTGGGGATATGATGAATTTATTGGCAAGTATGTAGGAACGGCCCAGTATGCCAAGGGCTTGCAACTGGGCAAGCCCACATAGAGGAGAGGCTAAAGTAATGTTTCTTCCGACCCAGTACAACAGTTCTTGTTTGACTCCACAATGGGTAGATCTAGGAGTGATGCAAAGCGGGTCTAATTTCCTCCCTGGAAATCTAGAATAACCAGGCACCTGCCGTTACTTTTTTTTTTTTTTTTTTTTTTTTAAATCAACATAAATTACCTACCCTCAAGTTCCTTCCCTTGCAAATGGACCATGGTGTGACGCTGAGGGAGATGCTGCCTCCTACGGCACCGCACAGTCATGGGGCTTGTCAGGTGGGGATACCTGCCTGCCTGAATTATTCAGAGTGACTTTGAATTCACATTCACTTCACTGATATCACAGTTATTATGCAGATGTCACTCAAATTACCTCATGTTGAGGTGTCTACTGATATCAGAAATCCTTGAATGCAAGGGTGAAAAAACCTCCTGTATCTTACCTGCAGAATTCCCAATGCTCAGGGACTTTTCTGCTTAGAAGCCAATTTCTTTACATTTTTCTTTACAGGGTATATTTAGCTGCATCAGTTTTTCTTATTAGAGCTATGGCAACAGGAAATCTCTCTGGAGCTCTCACAAAAGTCTCAGTGATAGTTGTAGAAGGATTCCTATTGATATGAACAGACTTCATTCACTCAATTCTTTCCCTCTTTCCCACCAAACTGAATCAAACCAAACCAGTGCCTTGGTTTTCCAAGCTTACAATGTTGTGGAAAGCATAATTATCTGAGAAATAATGAGGGCTTTGCAAGGTTTCTGAAGCATAAAAAGTGGCAGCTGGGGAAGAGTGGATATCTAAACCAGCAATGAAATTTTGGGCTTGATCCTGCAAAAAGAGATGCCCGAGAGATACCTTCCACCCAGGAGGAGGTGATTCTTTCACAGAAAGCGAGCCATTGCTGCACAGGTTATTATTGCAGTGCAATCCCTCAGAAGTCTGTGGTTGTAGCATGTATTAGGTGACAAGTTTGCTGCTCCACATGACAATCTTCCTTTCTGAAGTTTAAAGAACAAAAATTCCTAGGAAAAGGTCACTCAGGGGAAGTATTTTCTCTAAAATGCACTGCCTGTTTGATATAGGGATGCTGCTGGTGACCTTACATGTGTTAAAATCAGTGCCAGACACTGGGGATTAGTTTCTCCCACCAGCAACACTCGCTCTGTGTTCACACCTCTCTTCTGCAGTCCTGAGGCTGTGGTCAGCACTCTCCTATTT